AAGAATAAATATCCACTACCCCGCATAGATGACTTGTTTGATCAGTTAGCCGGTGCCACGGTATTTTCCAGAATTAATTTAAGATCAGGATATCATCAAGTGAGAGTTAAAGAAGCAGATGTCAGTAAGACAGCTTTTGGGAACAGGTATGGTCACTTTGAGTTTAGAGTCATGCCTTTTGGGTTAACAAATGCTCCTGCTATCTTTATGGATATGATGAATCAGATTTTCAAAGATTACATAGATAAGTGTGTGATTATTTTTATTGATGACATTTTGATATACTCAGGGATGGATGATGAGCATGCTGAACATTTGCGCATTGTTTTGGAGACATTGAGGAAAAATCAGCTATATGCAAAATATTCAAAATGTGAATTTTGGCTAAAAAGTATTTCCTTCTTGGGGCATATTATCAGTGGTGAAGGGATTTCTGTAGACCCACAGAAAGTAAAAGCAATTATGGAATGGCCAACACCAAAGAATGTTACAGAGGTTCGTAGTTTTCTTGGACTCGCAGGATATTACAGAAGATTTGTCAAAGGATTTTCACAGATTGCTATGCCTTTGTCTAAATTAATGAGAAAGGAGTTAAAATTTGAATGGACAACTGAATGTGAGAAAAGTTTTCAGGCATTGAAAGAGCATCTGACGACAGCCCCAGTATTGACACTTCCCTCAGGAACAGAAGGATTTCAGATTTATAGTGATGCATCTTTGAAGGGCTTGGGATGTGTTCTAATGTAGAATAGAAAGGTGATTGCTTATGCATCTCGACAGTTGAAGCCCCATGAAAGAAATTATCCCACTCATAATTTGGAGCTAACTGCAGTAGTATTTGCTTTGAAAATTTGGAGACATTATAGACATTATCTGTATGGGGTAAGATGTGAAATTTTCACTGACCACCAGACTCTCAAATACATATTTTCGTAGAAGGAATTGAACTTGCGACAAAGAAGATGGTTGGAACTCATTAAAGATTATGATTTGCATATCTAATATTGTCCAAGAAAAGCTAATATTGTGGCTGATGCTTTAAGTCGCAAGTCTACAGGAATGATGAACTTGATGATTACTCAAGAGGTTCGATTGATCAAGGAAATGGAAAATCTGCAATTAGAGATTAGAGACTTAAAAAATATGGAATATTTGCATCAAATGACCATAAAGCCCACTTTAACAAATGGTATTAAAGAAGCTCAAAAGCTTAGTAGTGAATTTTCAACATTAATAGAGCAGGTTCAGTTAGGGAAAAGAACCGATCTTTCTGTTGATGTCAATGGAATCATTAAGCACAGATCCCAGCTATGGGTACCCAACAAGCTAGAATTGAGAAGAGAAATTTTGCAAGAAACTCATCATTCTGGCTACACAATTCACCCAGGCAGTACTAAGATGTATAAAAACTTGAAAGTAATATTCTGATGGCCAGGTATAAAGAAAGATGTTGCTAAATTTGTAGCTAAGTGTGAAGCATGTCAAATTGTGAAAGCTGAACATCAAAGACCTAGTGGATTACTACAATCACTACCTATCCCAGAGTGAAAGTGGGAAGAAATTGCAATGGATTTTGTCATGGGATTTCCCAGATCCAGACAGGGGCATGACAGTATTTGGGTAATTATAGATAGACTGACAAAATCAGCTCACTTTTTACCTATCAAGCAAACTGATTCGGTAGCAAATTGGCACATCTATATGTAAAAGAAATTGTCAGATTACATGGTATTCCAAAAGTCATTATCTTAGATAGAGATGGTAGATTTACTTCGAGACTGTGGAAGAGCATTCATGAAAGCTTGGATACAAATCTGCATTTCAGTACAGTTTTTCATTCTCAGACTGATGGTCAATCTGAAAGAACCATTCAAGTATTGGAGGATTTATTGAGATTATGTATTTTGGATTTCAAATGCAGCTGGAAAGATTGCTTACTACTTATAGAATTTGCCTACAATAACAATTACCAATCCAGTATACAAATGGCACCATATGAAGCACTTTATGGTAGAAAGCGCAGAACCCCCTTAACTTGGGTTGAGGTAGGAGAAAGAAAGTTATTGGGCCCAGAACTGGTGGAGGAAGTAATAGAGAAAATTAGATTAATCAGAGACAGATTAAAGGCTGCTCAGGATCGACAACAAAAATATTATGACCCCAAACATAGAGCAGTAGAGTTTGAAGTGGGTGACTTCGTATTCTTGAAGGTTAAACCTATGAAGGGTACAGCTAGATTTGGTAAGGGAGGCAAATTGAGTCCTAGGTTTATTGGACCTTTTGAAATTGTTGAAAGAATTGGAAACGTTACTTATAGGCTTGCTCTTCCAGCTGACATGTCAGATATACATAACATTTTTCATGTGTCACTGCTAAGGAAATGGGTTACAGATGCCCATCAACGAATCTCACATGATGATATTGAGCTACAGAAGAATCTGACTTATATGGAAGAACCTGAAAGAATACTATATTTTGATACTAAACAGCTCAGAAATCATAAAATTCTCTATGTTAAAGTGAAATGGAAATACAGACCAGAAAAGAAGGCAACTTGGAAAGAGAAGAAGATATTCGCCTCAAGTTTCCCCAATTGTTTGATGATCACTAAGCTAGAAATTTCGAGGACTAAATTTAAATAAGAAAGGGGGATTTGTAATACCCGAAGTGCTCCAAATCAATGTAAGCATAAATTTTTTTTTTATTTTTGAACATTTCATATATATGAATAAGTAGAATAACTTATTATTATTTTGATTACAGAAAAAAAATCTAGTTTTCATCTAATACAGAAACTTATTACTCTATTTCTACATGAACCACCATTTCATTATATCATTATGATTTCAGTACCCATTACAATTCCTGTACTCACAGCACTTATCTTAACATTCAATGGACCGATTAAGATAGTGGAAAATCAACGGTTGAGAGGTGTTAGTGAAGTAAAATATGAGTCTTAGTGGAACTGTCATTCTATGCATAATCCTTTATTCCCACGAAGCAGTTGCTGGTTTAGAGTTGCTGGCCATAGGAGAATGAGGGGCTGAAGGGAACGAGCATCAGTTTGAGGGAGCTTTGGCTTGAAGCGTGGATTTTTCATACTCAGACATGGGTGCAGGATTGAGCAGCTTGAGTTGTTTGATGAGTGGGAACAATGGTATATGATGCAGGTAAGTCCAGAAACTGAGGGAAAGCCTTTGACACCACTAATCTGCTCCCTCGCTACAGATTTCTTGTGTCTTTTGTAGTCATTCATAATGAAAGGACTTCAGGATTGTTGATGCTTTAGTGTTGTTTTGGCCTGTCATAACTGCACCAATTTTTGACCATGAACTGATTGAAAATACCTAGGATGGTATAATAAATGTTAATATATTAGCTGAATTCAGAATTTAGAACTCAGAAGGAAGGTTAAATTATTATAGTTGTTGTAATCAGGTGGAGTTTTGCCGGAAAAAAAGGAAAATTTGGGTGGTTGTGAATAAGTAGCATATGAAGATAGTATATAAAAGGAAACGGAAGCAGACTTTCGAAGAATCAATTCCAAGTAAGGTGAGGTATCCAACAATACATAGAAATAATAAAAAAGTTTAAACAGTTGCAAATGGATATTTATCTTGTTTTTAATATCATTTATTTTCCCCATAATAGCATGTATTTCAAATAGTTCAATTGCTTCATATGTGAATTACTTGTAGTTGATTCCAATTTATATAATTGTTGGAAATGATTATGAAAATGTACCTGAAAGGAAAGAGAGTATAAATGTTATTAAGTCATATGTTGGGGGATAGGCCCGCACCAGTAAGGGCGAAAGACCTGACGAGATAAGCCTATACTCTCTCATTATAAAAGTTGGGAATTTAGACCCAACCTTGAATAAGAGAGCAATTTCAATTCTAAAAGTTGAGAATTTAGACCCAACCTTGAATTTAAAGACTAAAAAGAGGGCACAAGCTTATAGACATCATATGACTTGTTTGAAGCTGTTAATTAGACAGCAAAAAGGGAAAGCAATGCTACACATTTCTTACTATCAGTATGGAATTTCAATATATTCTAGTTATGTTATGAATTTCTAAATTGTTTAACAATGTTATTTTTATTTCTTTTACGTTGTTGGTGTATTTCATTGAGTCCTACTCATTAGCAGTAGTTATACTGCAGGTAAGGGAAAGGAGCCCATAGGGCACTAGGCGAGGAAGAAGTGACCGTCTAATTTTGGTGTAAATATGTTTTGGTGTACAAAGAGATCTTAGAGGAGATCTGAAGAGTAGCTGTATAAAATTTTTGATATGTAAGTAAAGTTCAAAAGTGTAAGTAGAGCTCTGTATTTGTTTTAATTCTGTTGATGTTCAGTAAAGTACATTATATGCTTTTATTATGATGTTCGGAGTTGATAGGTTGACATGTTAGGAGAGCCTAATTAGATTTCTTTCCTTCTCTGTTATACTCCAGTTTGTTTGTTAGAGATTAAGCCAAACTGGGGTGTGACAAAACCGGCGGCCAAGGTTAGGGTTAGGGTTTGTGAGTGGCGGCTAGGTGGAGGGGAGGGCTCAAGGAACCGGTGGTTTGGGGTGGAGGAAGGATGGTTGGCTAGGATTGTAGAAGTGGTGGGGGTTTTGGCTGAGGGGTGGAGAATCGTGGAATGGTCGGCGGTTAATGGAGGATTTGGTGGGGAGGCCAGGGCTTAAGGGAGGAAAGAAGGAGAAGATAACCACGAGCCTGGATGCTTCCTGCGGCTGGTGAGTGATCTGATTCCCTCACCTAGAGATTTTCTCTCCAAAACTCTCAAGCCCTCTCAAAACATAAAAGTGCAGAAATTTTCATAATATTATTCATTACCCTCCAAGGAGAAGGAGGTGGCATTTAAATAGCCTCATCACAATGAAAGAAAAATAAAAGACTAACTTGCCCCTAGAGCTTACACATGACTAGGCCCTCAAATGAGTGTATAAATGGAAAATGCAATAATAATTCATAACACAAAATAAACTAACACAAATAATTCTAATACAATGACAATGAAAAGTAAGCAGCGTAATCATGGTTGTAGATCGACAGCCACGACATTGGTTGTAAAAACCCGAAAACTGTCGTTCGAATGCGTCGCATGCATTTTGATGCGCCGCGATAAATTTAGGCAAAATTTCTAAGTCGTGGAATTCGACGAAATAAATTTTATTAAATTCTACGCAAAATTTCGCTCGAAACGGTATAAAGAACATATATCAATTTTCGCTCGGTTTGAGAATTAAAATTTACCGAAGATGATTTAAGTAACATTTTACCCTTTGTACCCATTTTGTCCTTCATATGACAATAGGGAGGAATTTGGGAGAGAGGTACATGCGTCTTTTGGTGAGCCCTCTCCCACATATAGACAAAATACCTCATAGGGACCGAAATATTTCGGTCCCTCTTGTGTTTCTCTTGTCCGAACGAAGGAGGGCGGGCGGCATAGAGGAGGGAGCGGTTGAAGCTTGCATTTTCCGGTGGTCGGCGGCGGTTTCCGGCAGGATTTTTGGAAAGAAGTGAAAGGGAAGGCTTAGGGAAGAAGAAAGGTAAGTTCCTTATGCAAGAAACTTCCCTCTTTCATGAGATTTTTTCTTGGAGAAATTTTAGGGTTTTGTTTTTTATGGGGTTTTCTTTAGAAAAGTGTTAGGGCTTAGTTATGCCTATGTTTCTAAGTTATAAGCATGAAGTTTGCTTAAGGAAAACATAGGTTTGAAAATTAGGGTTTCTTTTAAACATGAGATTTTGTTTAAGAATAATGTTAAGAATGATGTAGAAACATAATTACCTTGAAATTCAAAGTTTTTCTAAAAAAATTTTGGAGTTTTAAATTAGGATTTTTCCTAATTTTGCATTTCTAAGCTTGCATGTTAACTAAACTTATTCCTAAGGGTTATGGGGGATCTCTAATTAAGAGAAATTGAACTTTTTGAGAAAAAAATATTTTTTTCCTAAATTTTTTATGAATTAATCCGAAAATTAAATGTCCTAAGCCTAAGCTTAGAAATGATATTAGTGAAGCATTAGGTTTCCAAAATTTGATTTTTAGGTAAAACTGAATATTTCATTTAAATTTTATTTTATTGAAGGAAGGATGTGATAAACTATGGGTTATACTAATATGATTACCAATTATGATCTATGTTTTACCTTAGAATTAAGACTCATGCTTTATGTAATGAACATGTTTTAGGTGATGATCATGCTTATGTGGTTAACTTTAAGTGATGATCATGCTTATGTGGTAAACTAAATATTTTAGGATATGAGTAGGTGAATGTGTATTAGTGAGCTTAGGGGAAGTGATTAGCTATGACTTGAGAAGGGTTAATGAGGTATAGTGAATTAATTTGACATAAAAGGCTTATGTTATAATTTTTCCCTTAGGTTTTGGAAAGAAAAATTAAGGAGAGGTTGGTGAAGTGAAGACTTGCAAAGGGCAATTGAGGTAGGAATCTCTTACTTTACATATTCATGTTCCTTTATGTTTTTATTGTTCATTTATTTTTATTCTTTAGTTAATTTGATACATAAAAAATGCATATGAAGTGTCTTTATTAATTGATAGAAATGTAGAAATATTTCTATGAAACAATGCATAATTGATGTTTAAAATTTTAAGCATTTCATAGAAGTTTTTTTCATGTACTTACTTCATGCTCAAAGCATATGGTTGTTATAAAAATGCTACATTACATACATGTCTCTATAGAAAGATTATGTAAATGATTGTGCATGTTGAAGGCGGAGTACCACATATGGTGCGAAAGCATAAATATGGCTCTTATGAGCAATACGGAACAATATGACCCTTTGGGGCAAAAGAGAAAAAGAAATGAATGGCCAAAAAGATGTTTGTGTACCTGATCAATACACTCCTGGTACTCCGGTACGGTTGTATAAGATAAGACATGAGTAAGCATATAACATACATAAGCTATGACATCCATAAGACACATTGCATACATAAAGCATATGACATACATAAGGCATCTACCATTCATAAAACTTATGAAACTAGCATGTATAGCAAAACAATCGAGACTTTTCACTTCTAGCATACATGTAAATCTTATTTTATAAAAGGCATGTGAAGATGTTAGGGTTAGTGTTTCCTATTGAGCGTTAGTTCACTCACTCGTGTTGGGATACTTTTCAGGACAACTAGCTGCAAAGAATGACTGACCGCCCTTGGTTCTCCTACAGTCATAGAGGACAGACTAACAGGTTCTTCTTATGATTTTTTAGTTGTAGTTTACCTCTTTTTAGGTGGTTTGGCATATTTGATAATTTTTGTAACCATCTTTGTACATGTGAATCTTCTCTTGAAGTTATATGAAATGATATGAAATATTTTGTATATTTGAAAAAAAAAATTAGAGGCACTTTTAAATCACTGTTGAAGTCTTTTAGATTCTTAAATATATGTTGTAAGAAAAGTTTATGTTCTGAACGTCTGATTATGTTCCCACCTCGTCTACACGAGCTCATCGGGCTAGGTAGTGGCAAAAATAGTACTATAGCACAAGTTTAAGATATAGATCAATATAAAGCGCCATTAGGATGATTTATGGGTCTTAAACATTTTAGGATTGTATGATTATGCGATGATTATTGAATTGGAATTTTTTTATTGGTTTAGAGCTATGGATCAGGAGTCCGATGCCACTAATGGCAATACTTATGGGAATAATGATCAGGCTAGTAAAGAAGTTCCAGCGGTACCATCTGTGATACAATTCCTGATGGCAGCAGTAGTACTACTATAGATACTTTTACATAGATGATGGCTGCTATGACACAACTCATTCAGCATTCCCAAGAGTAGCCCCAGTCTAGTTCTAGAAGAGAGGCCTCTGTGGATAAGTATCTAAAAATCATTCAGGACATGAGACCACCTCTCTTTACAAGAGTGGGAGAGCTAGTTGATGCTGAAAACTGCTTATGAGGGTCGGAAAGATTTTAGAAGGTATGCATTGTCCAGCTAATCGGAGGGTGACTTTAGCCACCTTTTCTTTGGATGGGGAAGCTGAGAGATGGTGGAGAGGACAGTTGTTGGAGAAGTTTGGTGGTAGAGAAACATCTCAGATCTTATGGGATGACTTTGTTAAAGCTTTCAGAGACTGGTTTGTGCCTCTTTCTACAAGGAGGTAGATGCAGGAGCGATTTATTCGGTTGGTACAAGGGGATCGGACAGTTATGCAGCATGAAGCTAAGTTTATCATGCTATCCTGTTATACATCTCAGATTATCTTAAGTGCTGAAGACAAATGCCACAAATTTTTGTCAGGGCTTAGCGATGTGATTTGTCAGCCGTTGATTTTTTTTTGCCTTGATGATTATGCTGTTTTGGTTGAGAGAGCAAGGATGATAGAAATTGAATTTCAAGCTACCCAAAAGAGGAGAGATTTCCTTCAGAAAAGGAAGGGTTTTGAGAAGACCAGGTGCTTCCAGAAACATTCTGGAGGTCCTAGTATGCAGAAGGCTAAATGTGATAATGGTGGGAGTTAAACCAGCGTCAGAACCTATGACAAGTGTGGCAAGCTGCATAGAGGTGAATGTTTATCTGGTTTCAATGTTTGTTTTTGGTGCCATCAGCCAAAGCACATGGCTAGGAACTGCCCAAGACGTCCAAGGGAGGGGAGGTCTAGTGCTCCTCTACCTCAGCAAAGTACAGGGAGACATCCGACAGTTGGTAGACCTAGAGCTCAAGAGTCTTCTGCATCGGCACCTAGTCATCCGACTACGAGACCTATTGTGCAACCAAAGGTATATGCTATCACGCAGCAAGAAGCCAAAAAATCTCTTGACGTGATCACAGGTATTATTTATGTTCAATGTCTACCTAATAGAGTGTTTTTTTGATACCAGTGCATCACATTCATTCATTAGTCAGGAGTTTGTTAAGAAACATGCAATGAAGGTCCGCATTATGCCCACTACACTATCAATTTTGCTACCTGATGGGTCTAGTATGATTGTCTTAAGTGTATGTTCACCACTACTTTCTTTATGCGAGAGGAATTTTGAAGTTGACTTGATTGTACTACCACTTAAGGAATTTGATATGACTCTAGGGATGGAATGAATGCAGGGGTGTCAATATTGGACCCGACCCGAACACGACCCATAAATTTCAGGTTTGGGTCACCCATAGCGGGTCGGGTTCATGTTCGGGTTTTCGACTCGTTTCAAAAAACGGGTCAGGTTCGGGTTGACCCGGGAACCTGGAAATGACCCAGAATGACCCGGCTACCCGCTCTATCCACATCATTTTGGCCGCATGCATCGACTCCCTGCCGAGTGCCATGAGTGAGTACGTGACGCGTTTGCCCAGTACAGCAGTGCCCGGCTGCCCGCGATGGCGCGATCCAACCACTGCCCGCGATCCAGCTGCCCAATTCGGCAGCGCCAGTGCGGAGTGCCCAGTCCGGTCGAGTCCGTCACGCATCTTGTGGTCTATCCAGCCATTGGCGCAGTCCCGCGAACCGCTTCCTGCTGTCGAATCCGCTGCGCGTCCCGCTGTCGTGTCCGCCGCACATCCCGCGATCCAGCAGTCGAGTCTGCGCGTGACCCGACGTGCTGATGTTGAATCCAAAGCGAGTCGGGTTGACCCGAACCCGAAGCGGGTCGGGTTTGCAAAATTGATCCGTATACAAAAACGGGTCAGTTCGAGTTGACCCAAATAATGCCGGGTCAGTTCCGGGTTTAACCCGAACTCGACCCATGACCCGAAATTGACACCCCTAATTGGATGTCTAACCAATTCATCTCCATATAGTATAAAAAGAAGATAGTGAAGATCAGACTTCCTGGAGGAGAGAAGCTTATCTTTCAAGGCGATAGAGATGTATTTTCTACTCTGTTTAAAATTGCGCAATAAGAGGCGCGCCTCTGCGCAATTCGTCCAAAAACCGCCTCGAAGCTTACGCAATTCCATCCCTGGCAGAGGCGTACGCCTCACATGGACTGAGGCACGCCTCAAAGGCGCAATTGCGCAATTCTTAGTGAGGCGTACGCCTCATGGGAATGGACCCACCCACTTAAAATGAATGTTTTTTTCTCCTTAAACCCGCACGACAGCAGCTCCTTCCAAATTTTTCCTACCCGCACAGCTCCAGTTCGTGAAGCAGAGAGCTCCGGCACAGTCCTTACCGGCCGGCTTCCCTTCCCACCGCTTCTCCCGCCGACGCCACCTCTCTCTGGCGAAGTTGAAACTTACGGCCGCCCTCTAGGAGTACTCCACATAGGATTTTAGGTATTTTTTTAGTTTAGGGTTAGATTTTTTAAGTGTAAGAAAATCTAGGGTTTATGTTTTTTTTATTGTAAGAAAAATCCTTAATTTCTCATTTACGCAATTCTGTGTCCGTGAGGCTTACGCCTTAGACAGCCTCGAGGCTTACGCCTCGTCTCACAAACGAAAACCGCCTCGAGGCTTAATTACGCAATTTTAAACCTTGATTTTCTATGATCATCTCATTTATGAAAGCTTGCAGTTTAATTTTGAAGGGGTACCCAAGCTTTCTAGCTCATGTAAGGGACACTTCAAAACAAGTACCATAGTTGAAGGAGATTGTTGTGGTAAGGGACTTTCCTGATGTGTTTTCTGAAGTCTTACTTGGAATGCCTCCTGTTAGAGAGATTGATTTCTCTATTGATCTTGTACATGGTGCTGAGCCTATTTCAAATGTACCCTATCATATGGCAGTTAAAGAACTTCAGGAGCTAAAGTCACAATTGCAAGAACTGCTGGAGAAGGGGTTTATTCGCCCTAGCACCTCACCCTGGGGAGCAGGATGATAGCATGCGACTCTGCATTGATTATAGGGAGTTGAACAAGCTTACCGTTAAGAACAAGTATCCTTTGCCGAGGATAGATAATTTGTTTGATCAGCTAATGGGAGCCACAGTCTTCTGCAAGATTGATCTGAGGTCAAGATATTATCAATTGAGGATTAAGGAGGAAGATATCCCTAAGACAGCGTTTAGCTCAAGGTATGGACACTTCGAGTTTACAGTGTTACCTTTTGGGCTAACAAATGCCCCAACTGCTTTAATAGATCTGATGAATCGGGTATTCAAGCCAATGCTAGATAGTTTTGTCATCGTCTTTATAGATGACATCCTGATCTATTCTTGTGATGAAGAGCATCATGCCAATCATCTTCAAGCAGTGTTACAAACACTAAGAGGCAATGAATTGTATGTCAAGTTCTCTAAATGCAAGTTTTGACTGAAGAATGTGACTTTTTTAGGTCATGTAATTAATGGGGATAGTATTTCTATGGATCACCATAAGGCGCAGGCTATAGCTGATTGGCCTAGACCTACAACAGTGACTGAGATACAGAGTTTTCTTGGATTAGCTGGCTACTACAGAAGATTTGTAGAGGGATTTTCCAAAATTGCTGCACCTTTAAGTAGACTGACTCAAAAGGCAATTAAGTTTGAGTGGAGCAGTCAATGTGAGGAAGCATTTCAGGAGTTAAAGATTCATTTTATGATTGCACCGATTCTTCTTATTCCTTCAAGTACTAAAGGGTTTTAGATTTTTAGCGATGCGTCACTGAAGGGTTTGGATTGTGTCTTGATGCAACAAGAGAGAGTAGTTGTCTATGCTCCTAGGCAATTGAAAAGTCATGAGAAGAACTACCCAACCCACGATTTGGAACTTGTCTCTGTAGTATTTGCTTTGAAGATTTGGAGGCACTATCTTTATTGTGTACATTGTGAAGTATTTACATATCACCAGAATCTGAAATACATTTTCACTCAGAAAGAGCTGAATTTAAGGCAAAGGAGATGGATGGAGCTTCTTAATGATTATGATTTGGATATTCAATATCATCCGGGAAGAGCCAATGCTGTTGCTAATGCGTTGAGTAGAAAATTGTCGGAGAAGTTGAATGTGGTAGACCCTCCAAGGTCGGATGTCCTCATCAATTAGCTCTTAACAACATAAGCAAAGAACCAACTTTTCGCATCTGCATTCTGCATCTTGGATTTTTATCACACCCTCACAAATAATATTAATCAGAAGGCTTTCAGGATTTTGAGCTAGATATTTTCAATTATATGCAGCTCAAAATTATATATTTTCATTCAAGAACCACTTAATGTGATTATTATCCCAGTAACCATCTTGAATTGACAAACTAAAATGTTTTAAGCCTACGAGTTTAATCTGATGAGTCATTCGCTCATCTTATAATTACAGACACCATACCAGCTATGAACAGATATTTTGTTCTAGTTTATTGAAAAGACTTAAAACAATGAGATTCATAAGCACCTGAAACCATGGCACTGTGATTTGGAAAATAAACTGAGATTAGCAAAGTGTTATGAAACTCAATTCATAAACTTAATATCAATAGCTCAGACACACTTTCCACAAAATTCAAGGATAAAGGCCGATGCAACAGAGCAAATTCAAGGTTACTAGGCACCAAGACAAATAGCATGTTGTGGCCTTTTTCATTCACTAATTTCCTCAAACAATCAAAGAAACAATAATATAATATTGTTGCAAGTGACAAAAAACTGCCAACATCACAACAAATAGTAAGAATATATGAAATACATATCATCAATATTCGAAAAAATATGTCAAGCAAGCTGTAAATATACTTATGAACAATATAGCAGTTTTAATGGATGAACAAGCAACTAGCTCTTCATAGGATGCAAGCAAATATCTGTCATGGTTTTGAGGAAATAAAATACAGAGAGACAACCCTGCATATTCATTAGAATTCTCAAATTTAAGCTGCAGGTGTCAAATCAAAGAAGAAAGGACATACAATAATGACAAGTCTATGAAGGTAGCAAGAGCATTTAGGAAGAAAAGAGATACAGCAACACATGTATCAACAGGAAGTATAACACACGTCATAAAACCATTATCACAAGAATATTTGAATCTGGTATATCCTAGAACATATAGTAACAGTCATCACCTCAAATCGAATAGCTGTTCCTGCTGGTATATTTAATCTCATCCCATAAGCTTTTCTTCTATCAAAAAACAAGTATGGGTTCACTTCAATAAAATGATAATGACTCCCAACCTGCAAATTAAAATGTTAAATGGTTAGGATACTTTACACATGCAAGTAGATAGCCTTCTCAGATCACTCATCCGTCCCACAATTTGAAAATAATTTTGTTTGATTCTTAAATTTTGTTTTGATAAGGAAATCTGACATAACAAATTCAATGAACTGCGGTTTTAGAAAATAAAATTGATTAGCATTTTAAACGGTATTGGTTGAAGATAATGGCCGAGATGTATAACTAAACATCTTCCATCATTGCCAAAGAAGAAGATGCAACAACAGCTCGAATGATTCTCTGATAAATATCTCTGGTTCAAATCAATCAAGTTAAGATAGAATCCTCAAGAAACTTAAGCTGGCTCTTAGATTAAATATTTAACCATTTAGAAAAGCAAAAATTCCCAACAATGCAAACTTGGCTTCTGAAAAACCAAATTGCCATCAGTTCAACAATCACCAAACTGGAGCGTTAAGAACGAACTCGGATTTCCAAGCAAATTAAATTTGAAACAAAATAAAGAGGGTGATGTGATTCTGATGGACCAATTCATTTGATTGGGAGGGAATGAAGAAATTTTCTAATCAAGAGGGAGTTGTTTAGAAAGGTTCCTAATCAGGGGGCAGATTTGGAGGGGAAATAATTAAGTAAATATGGCGGATTTGGGATGGAATTGGGGGATTGTTTGTGTATTTGTTGTTTATTGTTAGTTTTAAGCAGGAGATTTTCCTAGGGCTAGGGGGGGGGGTCTTGTTTGCTGAAATTGTAGTGTTTTTAGAGTGCTTTGGGCTCTAGCGCCGTCTAGAAATTTGGGAGAGCCGGATCTTCCTCTCGAATTGAAGATCCAACTCCAAGGAATTTCACAAGTTCTGCATCCACATCCTATCAAATTAGTATCAAAGTAGTTCGATATGGGCACCCATGGCTAGAAGAAAAGTAGAAGTATTAGAAGGGGAGATCGAACAATTGAAATCAGATTATGTAGAAAAGATTTCAGATTTTAAAAAGCTATTTTCAACCATTGATGAGAAGACTGATGAGAAGTTCGCCATCATGAAGGAGATGATGAGAAAGATGCTCGAGTTCTAAACCAGAACGGCGCTGTTGGAGGCAAGGGGAGCCACCAGCGACCAAGAGAGTGAAGGAAACACTAATCCAATAAGGAGAGTGAAAGATCAGAAGGTGGAAATGTTGGACTGTTGGAGACAGAGGGAGTCACCAGCGACCAAGGGAGTGAAGGAAACGCTAATCCGATAAGGAGAGGGAAAGATCAAAAGGTGGAAATGTTAGGGGAAGAAGAGGAGATGCAACATTTGGAGCCACTCCAATGAAAGAAAAGGGTAAAGGAGTGGGACATTTAGTGGAGCTGCAGAATTTGAAAGGAGAAAAAGAAAGGGAGAAGATAGATGCACCAGACATGATTCTACCGCCCCTACAACAATATCGAGAGATATTCCAACAAGTTCAAGGGTTGAATCCTTCGAAGGAATGCAAATATGTTATCATATTGAAGGAAGGAGTCCCACTTACCAGTGTTCGTCTATACCGTTATCCTCAAATCCATAACGAAGAGATTGAGAGATTAATCAAGGAAATGCTCGAGGCAGGAATCGTTCAACCTAGTGTCAATCTATTTTTCAATCCAGTTCTATTAGTCAAGTGCTTCAGTAGTCGTTTCGTTAATTCTGCATGTCTTCTCTGTCTCCAACGATCATCATGTACATGTCATCAGTCGTTACAAAGTTCTAAGGCAAGTCTTCATATCCATCTCCAGCTAATTTCTTGAGATTAGAGATGTTATATATTTGGCTAGATAAGTTTAGAAACATCATTCGATCACTAAACCCTAAACCCAAGACGATATTAGACCATCACAATACCGACTTCAAACATTAGTCGAAACTATTAACAACTTTGATTAAATATCATTCGCACTATCAACCCTAAACCTAGAAGAGAGCATTACACATCAGGCCATACCAAGTGGATGTCAATAGAAATTTGATCAAATCATAATCGAACTTTATTCAAATATTAATTGAACATTGATCAAACCTTATTTAAATCTAGTTAAAATAATGTATGTATTTTTAAAAAATATTTGATCAAGATTCGAACAAGATTCAAATTATATGATTTTATCGGCTCAAGAATTTGTGTTTCCAACTATAATTTTGAGAAGGCAAATTATGTTGTAAAGAAGACACACAATATACATAAAATCGACACATACAATACATTACATTATATTACAATGAATAAAATGTGGCGTGAAGCTACTCACCTCCAACAAAACCCTATAGCTTGGGTTGCTCACCAGCTCAAGCAATAGCACCACCAAGCCTTCTCGGTAGTCCAAAACAAATCTTCCCCTAGTAGTGAAGCCAGTTGTCCTCGCCTAGTTGAAGGTTGTCCTCAGCTCCGCCTTAAATGCTGCAACCTCCTTCCTCAGCTCAGTGACTTCTGTCGAGGTCACACCTCCGCACAAGTTGCCAGCCTCGCCTCCACGAAGTGGAGGTTCATCGTCTTCTCAAAGACAATGAGTCAACCTACTATCTCCTCAAGCGAGATCGACCCCTTGGAAAGAATGACATTGACAGAGCAACCAAAAGATAGTGAGCCCCGAGGCTTCTTATTCAAACCCTTTTAAACATGTTCTTCTTCTACCTCGGCCGCAATGCCAACATGCATGATCGCCGCACCTCCTGCCTGCTCGCTAGCAACTACAAGCTCTACCACTCCCACAAGTGTTAGCATCTTTAATTCCTAGTGCAGGTGGCATCCTTGGGGTCAACAATGGAATGTCATCAATTGAAACTCTTTATCTAAGTATTCTTAGAAAACTACATAACCCTTTCACATAGGACAGTCCCAATCGTATACTAGCCAAGCGCCCACCACTACAAAGCTATCAACTTCAGCCTACTCGGTAGATGCCCCAACAAATCGCTCGAAAAAAAAATAGATTAGAGGCTCTCACAGTAGACACCTTTTTCCCTAACAAAGCTATTCACAAATACTTTAACTTGTCAACTTTTCTCTTACCTGTCTGAATTGGAGGTTCCTACGAACTTGCCACAGCTTTAGTAGAGGCAACCTCTATCTAAGCCACTATAATTGGGTCCCATGGAGTCACTCGACTTGTTTTCCATAGAATAAGTTGCTCGTCACCTTCTTCAAAAGTGAGGTTGACCCTCTCTAAAGCCCTAACGATGCCGCCATAAGTGATGGGCTCAGCAGTATCACCTGCTATAATCGGTAACTCAACAATCTCCACCACTATTGCAAGACCAATTTTAATTCTCTTTACAGGAGTAGCAACAATGAGTTCAGGCTCTCCTAGGCAACCTAGATACCACCCTCAACTTCCTTACTCTGCGAGAGTCCACTCGCCTTCTTCTCTAATTTATCAGCCTGGTATGAAAGGCGGCCTTTTTAAATGCCTTGGCCTAGACCAAGCTAACTCAGCATGGTTCATATTTAAACTCATAGGTTTTAGAGTGAACAAGGGAAAGGAAGAATGCAAAGTCCCTATTTTTAAGGAGCCAAAGAAGAAGGTGTTGTCACATCATTGATGCAAAATCTACATAACAAGGCTGCAACAAAAAATTGGGTAATAATTTTGCATTTACTTTCATGTAACATGTACAGCAGTCGCAATTAATGTTTTATCATTCACTTGCCTTTTTCATCACTCGCCGATGCAACCTAAAAAAAGGACAACTCGCCACTTACAACTTTCAATAAAATAGGACAACACGCATACAACTTACAAAACGAACACAACCTTAGAACACAACAACTTACAAATTAGAAGATACAACACCACTTTTCACTTGTAAAAATAACAACACTACTTACAACTTGTAATAAAAACCTGGACACCACAACATACGACTAATCAAAGTTTCGAGAAGAAAGATACAGGTGGAATAGAAACCATGGAGAGAAGAATAGATAGAAGTTCGAGACAAAATATAAGAAAAGCAAAAGAGTAGCTCACAAGCTATGAAAAATTCGCAGGTTTCACGTTTCAAATATTCATAACATATCTCTCTCACACAAAGAAAGTCGGCCCCAATTTATAGGAGAAAGAATGGGGAAGGGCATTTATTATCCCACATAAATGTGTCACCAAAACAACCACTAAAACCACTCCAAATCAGCCCATACATGGAGAAGTCAAAGCAAACCACACGAGGATTAGCAAGGGGAAAAAACCGAGTAGTCAATAGTAGGGAAAAGAAGTATCCAGTAGTAAAGACGGAAGGAAACCGAAGGGTAGCTGGGAAAATGAAGAGCCAATAAGGAAAACTGAAGTCCAACATGGGGATGATATGCATGACAACCTAGGGCTCAAATTGATGCAACCTAAAAAAACAGGACAACTCACCACTTACAACTTCCAATAGAACAAGATAACACACATACAACTCACAAAACAAACACAAACTTAGATTACAACAACATACAAGATACAATACCACTTTCCACTTGTAAGAAAAACAACACAACTTACAACTTATAATAAAAACCTGGACACAACACAACTTACGAGTAATAAAAAATTCGATAAGAAAGATACAGGTGTAATGAGAACTGTGGAGAGAAAAATAGATAGAAGTCTGAGACGAAATATAAGGAAGGTAGAAGAGGATAGCTCGCAAACTATGACAAACCCATAGATTTCACGTTCCAAATATTCATCGCATATGTCTCTCACACAAAAAAATTCAGACCCAATTTATAGGAGAAAGAAGAGGTAATGGCAATTATTATACCACATAAATGTGCCATCAAAACAGCCACTAAAACCCCTCCAAATCAACCCATACATGGAGAAGTCAAAGTAAATAGCATAGGGAACAACAAGGGGAGGAAACCGAGCAGCCAGCAGCAGAGAAATCAAGAAAACAGAAGGGATAATGAGCATCCAGCAGTAAAAAAAAAAGGAAACCGAAGGGGTAGCTGAGGAAATGAAGAGCTAGGAGGGAAAACCAAAGTCCAACATGGAGAAGACCAACAGCCAATATGGGAAAACTAAATAACCGCTTAGGGAAGACCAAACAGTAGCAGGGAATTCAAGCGGTCAGCAGAAAAGGTAAAAAACAGCAGACCTCATCAACCAATTAACTCATCACTCATCTTATGGAATAGAAACAAGCATTAGAAAGACGCACCCTCATCTATGATGAGTGTCGTTGTTCCCACACATCCAAGTCCAGCTACAGGAAGCACCTACCTAGGGGCCCTCAGCTTGCCTTGCCATGACTAGCCAACCACTAAGCTCATCTTCTCCACAACCTCAGACCATTCTCCTTCTCTTCTAGGTGATCAAAGGCTCAGCATGGGTCGTAAACAACTACCAAACATCACTCAGCATCAAGCACACCTTTCTCGGAACTCACTTGCAAACTCGTCCACTGCTACTAGGCAATACCAAGCTAGCCCACACTACAAAGCTCCTCTAATGCATACTCTGCACTATAGACCTCGACCATAGACAGATCATCAAAACTCTACAGCCTCTGCTCTCCCTCTGCCAATTAGAAAATGTCATGTGTCTAGGATAGTTTCTATAGCATTGTATTTTTTACTTTTCTTGAGTGTAGTCTTTTCTATAGCCCTTATAACACTATAAATAATAGGTGATGAGGAGCATTTTGGCACTTCTTAGTCTTTTAAAATTTTTAGACTGATTGAGATTCTGAGCTCTTAAGCGCCTTTACTATAACTTTTCTCTAGCATTTCTCTAGTATTTCTTCTTTCTCTCTTATCACATAAGTTCTAGGTCACTCTAAGGGTTTAACTGCTAGTAGATTCGAGTGTCATCCACTCATAAATTTGAATTTAACATATTTACTCAATGGATTTGATTCAGCTTTTTTTAGCATGAAAAAAACTCAAGCATGCATCAAAACAGATATAATCGTCTTAGGCTTCGTTTGGGATAACTTATGCTTTTCTACATATGCTTTTAAAAGCCCATTTTTCAACCATAACTTTAAATATGTTTTTTTTAAAAATAGCTTTTTAAAATTTAAATTTTAAAAAAGCTATGTTAAAATTATCACCCCAAATATATATTATTTTATATTGACTACTTTCATAATACAAAAGCGATCAAAAAGCTATCCCAAACAAAGCCTTGGTCAATGAAGAAATTCACCTAATGCATAGAAAATTGACTCTTTAACCAAAATCTCAAACCTTCACCAAACTGAACGGAATTGATCAGTTCTTTGGTTTATAGAATTTTGTCCATATTTAAGCATAAAAGTATAAAAAAATCCTGCAAAGATGTTTCTTTGTAAAAATGATGAGATACAATAAAACAACATACATGAAAAGGTTACCTGAATAGGCCTGTCTGCCTTATTTACAACTTTCAGCAAAACAGATCTTCTTCCCAAGCTAAGTGGGACATTCCCAAAGCCACAAAAAAGTTTACCAGGTATAATATCGTTCACATTCCCAACAAATATGTCATACGAAGGAACTACAAAAAAATTACAAATCTCATCAATGAATTCTTAGTTTTTCATCAAAAAGAATGACATATATGCAAATAGTTAGAATATTATGTTTCACACTCCTCAAAGAAGCCCTGAATGTTTAAAAGAAAACATGCAGCGAATAAGAAAGTCAAGGATCATTGAAAAGTTTAACAATACTCAGCTAAAAGATTAATGAGTTAGGGCTCTGGATACTCTCCAAAAATCAATGAAATTCTTCCACCTTCCTCCAACCACAATTAGCTATAAATTGGAATCAGTTATATCACAAATAGACCCAGAACTATATCTAACTGCAAGAAAATCTTGTCAAAGCAAACGATAAAAATAAATATATAACTACTAATCTTATATAACAACACATCGCTGTTAAAGCAGTGCAGCAATTTCTAGCAGAAAAATGGCTACTGAATTAAGTTGAATGGGTTTTAAATTGTTAGGTAGGTATTTAAGCAAAATTAAGCAGCAGATTATGTACTGTTGATTCATTATAAATAAGTTCATGACTAGATTAGGTCTATATAAATTAACAAAAATTTGTTCTTTATCCCGCAGTACTCCAATTTATGGATTTTACTCAAATGGCCAAAGTCAGGCTAATTGGTGATAAAATTCATGCTTTAGATTTAGTTTCCTATTTTTCATGCACTTACAAAAATTCTAATAAAAGTAAATAGATATCTTAGTTTAGTTACATGCATGTGTGCATAAATGTTTTGTTTGGTTGGGTTAAAATGCTTGGTGTGATCCTCAGCTGATATCAACTCAATGGATCTTAGAGAAGCTTTGAACCAAAGCAATGAACCTGAAGGTCAGCGATCTTGTTAAGGGACAAATATACCCTTTCTCATTAAGGGTGTTTCCACATTGACATTAATAATAGGAGATTTATCTAATACCTGTTTCTATTTTCCACTAAGCAATGAAGTACACAGATTATTTTTATATTCCTAATCTACATCCACTAATATACACATGCATCGGCTGATGGATTCTGTATTCCATCCAACGGCTAGCACTAAAGGATGGTGGCTTAGTGGATAGCAGGATAGCAGAGTAAATTAGTGGAATTTAGGAGTGAATATTATATTGCTTAGTGGAATTTCATTCTAATATAATTAAGGCATTTCATTCCACTCATTCCATTCATTCCACCCACGGTAATCCCTTGGCATTTCCTGGGGTCAAAAGCAGGCGCTGTTGCCAAGAGCAGCGGGCCAAGAAATAGGGGGGAGTTGGAGAAAGCATGGCTGCAGCGTGCTGTTGCTGTATTTGCAAGTAAGGAAATTAGGAAGAAAGTTGTTTAGGCCTGCAGAATCAATGGAATCAGTAATTGTATTATTAATAATTGTTGAATTTAATGTGTGCAGAGAATTGTAACGGTGGAAATCAGTAAGAATGGCTGCTGAAATCTGAAGCGCTGCAGTATTAACAAAAAAATAGTGGTTGAGGTGATGAAATGAAGTGTTGCTTGCTTAAATTAGGTGATACTATTGCTTCTATAGTCAACGCAATCAGCTAATATTAACTGAAATCTGAAATCAGCAAATAAATTGAAGAAAAATTGAAATCAGGTAAGAGTCGTTGGAGAGTAGTTGTTGATGTTAAGTCTGAAGTAATTTATTGATGTTCTTGTATATTACTATTGCTGTTAATTAGGGGTTGTTGTGGTTAAATAGAAAAGAAAGGAAATGAAGTAGGAAAAGAAGTTTAGGAGAGAAAGGAGAATGTTAAATTGAATGTAGAAGAGTATAAATGTATAATTGAAATAATTTGTATGATATTCATATTTTTGTTTTATTTACATATAAGCATGTATAAATAAAGAAATGCATGTTTTAGGTGGCGTACAAAAAGAAAAGAAAGTATGACCTAGAAAGATCTTAAGGGTTTGTTTTGGTGGCCATGGATGAAGAGAAGTGTAACTAATTTCGTTGCTAAGTGTACCACTTGTCAATTAGTAAAGACTGAGTATCAAAAGCCAGGTGGACTACTTCAAGCATTACCGATTCTAGAGTGAAAATGGGATGACATTGCTATGGATTTCGTGTCAGGTTTACCAAGATCCCGTCAGGGTCATGATGCTACTTGGGTTATCATTGATAGGATTACAAAGTCTGCTCACTTTTTGCCTATCCGACTGACTGACTCAGATGAGAAGCTAGCAATGTTGTATGTGGCTGAGATTGTTCGTTTGCACGATGTGCCTAAGTCTATAGTATCTGATCGAGATGAAAGATTTACTTCTAGACTTTGGATGAAAGTTCAAGAGGCTATGGGCACCAGATTGACTTTTAATACGGCCTTCCATCCTCAGACTGATGGACAAACTGAGAGGACTATTCAAACCCTTGAAGATTTGTTGAGACTGTGTATTGTTGATTTTGGTGGAAATTGGGAATCTCAAATTCCCTTAATAGAGTTTGCCTACAATAATAACTTCCAAGTCAGCATAGGAATGCCTCCATATGAAGCACTCTATGGAAGGAAATGTAGAACACCTCTATGCTGGGCAGAGACAGGTGAGAGAAACGTAATTGAATCAGATTTGGTTGATGATGCTTCAAGCAAAATCAGAATGATCATGGATAGGTTGCTAGCAGTACAAGATAGGCAGAAGAAGTATTATGATGCTAAGCACCGTTCTGTGGAATTCAATATGGGAAATTTTGTTTACATAAAGATCAGGCCTATGAAGGGTGTACTCCGTTTTGATAAGGTTGGCAAACTCAGTCCCCGCTACATTGGACCTTTTGAGATTATAGAAAGGATTAAGAATGTAGCCTACAGATTGGCTTTACCAACTACATATGATGTCCACAATGTGTTTCATGTTTCTCCTCTGAGGAAGTTTATAACAGATGATCCTTCTAAGATCATAACAGAAGAAGTGGATATACAGTCAGATCTTACTTATGTTGAAGAACCATATCATATCTTGGAGTTCAATGTGAAACAACTAAGGAGCAGGGAGATATCTTTTGTTAAGGTTCTACAGAAACATGGGTTGGAGAAGAATGCTACGTGGGAGAAGAAGACAGAAATGAGGAAGTGTTATCCTCATCTCTTTGAGTAAGGTATGCTTGTTTTTCCTCTTATTTAAATTTCGAGGATTAAATTTTTTATTATGAGAGAAGAATTGTAAAAACCTGATAACTGTTGTTCGAATGCGCCGCACGCATTTCGATGTGCCGTGACGAAAATAGGAAAAATTTCAAAGTCGTCAAAATTCAACGAAATAAATTTTATTAAATGCTAAGCAAAATTTTGATCGAAATTGTATAAATAACATATACCAAATTTCGTACTGTTTGAGAATTAAAAATTTTCAAAGATGGTTTAAGTAACATTTTACCCTTTGTCCCATTTTGCTCTTCATATGACAACAGAGAAGAATTTGGGAGAGGGGTGCATGTGTCTTTTGGTGAGCCATCTCCCTCATATAGACAAATACCTCAGAGGGACCGAAATATTTCGGTCCCTCTTGTGTTTCTCTCGACCGAACAAAGAAGGGTGGGCGGCATAAAGGAGGAAGCGGCGGAAGCTTGCATTTTCTGGTGGCCGGCGGAGGTTTCCGGCGGGATTTTTGGAAGGAACTGAAAGGGAAGGCTTAGGGAAGAAGAAAGGTGAGTTCCTTAAGCAAGAAACTTCCCTTTTACATGAGATTTTTTCTTGGAGAAATTTTTATGGTTTTGTTTTTTATGGGTTTTTCTTTAGAAAAGTGTTAGGGCTTAGTTATGCCTATGTTTCTAAGTCATAAGCATGAAGTTTACTTATGGAAAACTTAGGTTTCAAAATTAGGTTTTCTTTTTAACATGCGGTTATGTTTAAGAATGAAGTTAGGAAGGATGTAAAAACATAATTACCTTGAAATTCAAAGTTTTCCTTAAATTTTGGAGTTTTAATTTAGGGTTTTTCCTAATTTTGTATTTCTAAGCTTGCATGTTAGCTAAACTTGTTCCTAAGGGTTATGGGAGATCTCTAATTAAGAGAAATTGGACTTTTTGAGAAAAAATATTTTTTCCTAAATTTTTTTATGAATTAATCCGAAAAATAAAAGTCTTAAGCTTAGAATTAGGAAAGGGGGATATTTTATTATACAAACTTAATGATATTAGTGAAGCATTAGGTTTCCAAAATTTGATTTTTATATAAAACCAAAAATTTCATTTAAATTCTATTTTATTGAATGAAGGGATGTGACAAATTATGGGTTATACAAAAGTGATTGCCAATTAGGATCTATGTTTTACCTTAGAATTAAGACTCATGCTTTTATGTAATGAACATGCTTTAGATGATGATCATGCTTATGTGGTTAACTAAATGTTTTAAGATATGGGTAGGTGAATGTGTATTAGTGAGCTTAAGGGAAGTGATTAGCTATGACTTGAGAAGGGCTACTGAGGTATAGTGAATTGATTTGACATTAGAGGTTTATGTTGTAATTTTTTCCTTAGGTTTTGGAAAGAGGAATTAAGCAGAGGTTGGTGAAGTGAAGTGTTAACCTGCCGTATAAAACAAAAAAAAAAAATAAATATATTCCACGTACCTGTCCGGCGCCGAATTCAGCACGTCGTCGCCCACGACCTCGCACGACCCTTTGTCGTTAAAATGAAAAGAAAAGAGGCAGAAACCTCTCTTCTCATTCTCTGGACAATCGGCTCTCGCTCTCACTCTCTCCCTCTGTTCCGTCGTTGCTCGGCTTCGCTCGATCGACAACTTTCCTTTCCCGTTCGGATCGGAAGCACGACGGTAGCTCGCCGCTTCCCCATCTCCTCCGTGACTGTTCGACTTTGTACCTTCGACGATTTGCCCTTCCCGTCGGATCGGAAGTTACGACACATTTGATCGGAAGAAACAACTGGAGCTCGAGGCAGTGAAGACAACTTCCTCCCGTTCGGACGCTGCTTCGACCCCTTCGCTGCGGCTCGGCCCCTTTCCTCCGACGTTGTTCCTTCCTGTGCGATCGGAAGTCACGGCATTTTGAGCGGGATCAACAACGAG